TATTAGGTTGGAGGCCATCGCTATTAGGTTGGAGGCCATCGCTATTACGTGGAGGCCATTGCTATTGGGTTGGAGGCCATCGCTAGTAGGTTAGGGAGACTGCAGGCTATACCGCATTGATCTGATGAACCGATGCTGTTGCACCTGAGGAGCGAATTCAAGAGCGATTTGACGAAGCGTGGCCACAACTGGCGAATTGCTCAGTTGATAATGTTTTTTTTGTCTACTTTCAGCATTGATTCACATAATGCCACAATGCTGTTTTTTAAGATTCTAATAATCCTATTGCGTTGTTTTCCTTTCAGGTATCGATTGGCATTGGCAGCATCAAATCACATCAAACAAGATTGTGCTTAGTGGTTTGAGGGTAGTCACTTGAATTGACACACGAAGTCAGAACATGTACCTACAGTAGCCAGTAGTAGGCCTAAGGGATCCTAAGGGCCTAAGGAACTCCAGTGATCCGTTTTCATTTGGACTTGGTTGTGAAGAAGTTTCGTTTCCGTTTCTCCAATGCCGCAAACCTGTGGTTTTTGTGCCCAATTCTCTCCTTGAGTGTTGGGTTGGAGGTAGTCAGTTCTTTTGGAAGTTTATATAGTGGTGGTATTATATAAGTGCTTGGGAAAGTGTTGAGCTGCATTTTTTCCTTGACTTTGACACGTCCATATTTAGCACCGTCTAGCTGCCGGACATCGTGACATTGTCTATTCATGGTGACATCGTTTATTCATTCCATGTTTGGTTGTGTGACAGGACCCAAAAGCCCTGCCGATCAGCAAAGACAGACAGATCTTGAACACATTGTAGAATATATTTTGCTTTGGTTTGGCTGAAGTGGTCAGTGAGTCATGATGGCAAGTATGCACGTACGTGATAAGTGTTTTAGGAGGGAGGATTTGAGTGGTAGTGGCTCGTCTTGGGATTTAGAACATTTAGTCCGTCTGCGAGCGAGCTGCCTGGCCAGTCCGGCGGCGATCATTCAGCACTCTTGCCCCTGCTGCTTCCTTCCCATTTTTGCGTTTTGTTTTCCGTGTTGCCCATCCAATTCTCGAAGCGCGCTGTTTGAATCGTCCCAGCCATCCTACAAACACAAAAAGTAGTTTCTATGTACCTGTTACAGCCACCAAAGTCCAAAGAGAAGTGCATGTCCAAAGAGTTTGAGGTTACAACGTTTGCCGGGATCCAAGGAAGTTGTGGCCTTCTGTCGTTGACAATGTTTTTGCTCCTTGTCGTTGCAGACAGGTCTTCCTGCTCCATGGTCTTCTTCCAGTTTTTTCGACCATGTCAGCACTGTCAGTGGTCTGATCCTCGCTTTGCCCAGAGTTGTGTGCGCTGACTTGGCTGTGGTCACAGGTGCTTGGTGCACTCAGTCCAGCTGTCCAGTCCTACAGAGCGGCGCCGAGTATTCACTCATTTTGCATCCATTATATTCCTCCAAGTGCATCGCTACTAGGAGCAAGTGCATCGCTACTAGTAACAAGTGCCTTACTAGTAGTAACAGAAGCGCTAGTAGAAACAATAAGAAGCTATAGACTTTAATTAGAAAACATCTTGATGTCTCACTCATTGAAACTATGGCACTGCAGTTTCGAGCAGTTTGTGGGACATGTGAAACGGCACATTTCGAGGCTGGCATGGCTGGGACCTCTTGAACCGAATGGCATGTGCATCGCGAGCAACTTAGTTGAGCCATTCATTCCAATCTGCGTTTACTGATAGTCAAGCTACAGATCTCCAAGCCAGGCTTGGATTCTACAGTCTCTTCTCTGCTCGAATCCCAGAGCAGTAAACTCTGTTGCATTCTTTGAGCCATATCTGCTTGTCACAGGTGATGGTCCATCAGTTGCAAAGGGAGTACCCCGAGGCAAGTCCAGGGCAGAACTTTGTCACAAACCCGATATAATAATCTAAGCTGTTCTGCTTCAGGATGAGCTACCAACAGCCAGCATCACCATCAGGGCATTTATTCGTGGCGTCCTTCTTCTGCGAGCAGTCTCACGAGCATTTTGCTTTTTGGCAGCGTGGCTCTACTTGCTCCTGATCTTGGATTGCTTGATTGACTGCATTTGGTGGCATGAAGGTTCAGGAACACCATTGGGTATTCTGGGCCCTTTAGCCTGGCTTCTGAATGCCGACGGCCATGAGCTTTCACATCCATTTGCCAATGAGAAATCCATGATATTCTGCATGAATTTGATCTCCGTTATCTCTCAGCAGCGTTTGGTCGAGGTGTTAGCTCGTCGAGAAGTGTTGCTACGATTAATTGGTGCCGAACGAGTAATGGCCTCGACTATTTGCTTGCTGCTGAAAGGTGTGTCCGTGGCATGCACTCCTTCTAAAAGCCAAAACCCCATTGCTGAGTTCCTGGTACGGGTTGCCCCTCCTCCAGCTGCATGTGTGGCAATCATAGCTCTGCGTGATCATGCTATGCCACTTGGAATTGCTGTGGTGGCCACGCCTCGGATGACTGTGACGTTTGGCAGTTCTAGTTGCCTTATCCTCGGACTACTTGGAGGTGCTTATGCTGCCCACGCAGTGCTGTCTGTGTGGTACCTGCACCGAGCAGACTTGGATTCTGCCGCACTCCGTTTGGCCATGCTCGTGCCTGGGGGTGTGTCAAGTCAAGCCAAGGGATTGCTGAGAGGTGTTCTGGCAGGTGCACACAGACGAGCTGTTCAGATGATGGCCATGGGGATTTTGCAGAGGGCCTTTCGCTGGCTGACCCAGCGCTGAGTCCTGGCAAAGGGAAATGTTTTACAACGTGCTGTTTGAAGACGCACGTTTACCTACAATGGGCCCTTTGTGCTGAATTGTTGTGAACCTTGGCAGCAGCCCTGCTACCTTGGAGAGTGCAGGCAATTCAAACGTATTTCTTCTGAAGAGAGGAACTGTTTGCCAAACATTTTTTCTTTGGCACAAGGTGGAGTCTGTCAGAAGATTGATTGTAATGTCAAGAGAATGCATTGGCATTTGTTGGCTTTGACTCCCTGAATTCAGTGCCAAAAGATTTGTACATAGTTCTTGCAAAGGTATCCATATTTGGACTTTGGGTTGTTGAAATTTGAAAAGATGGATGCCTTTGTCGGCCTTGGGCATCATCATGGTCTTTTAGATGTGCTGGCCTACTTGTTGCTTCCTTGGCCTGTTAGTGCTGATCTCTTTGCGGCTCATGCAGTGCATGGGGCTGCCAAAGGTCAAAAGCACAGAGAATCATTGGATGATAATATGGATTGGGCTGGCAGATACAGACAGCTGCTGTGGCTGCAAAGCAACTGTCAGCCCAGGGTGCAAATTCCTTCACTTAGTCGCATAGACGAGAATAGAGCTGTTGCAGCGTCCTTTGCTCCTAGTAGTAAGGCCAGGAGCCCCCAGTAGCGTGCTTTGCTCTTCTATTTTGGTATTTTGGTGGTCACCGGAATTTGCAAAATTGGATCGATGGGACTTCTGCAGCTTCAAAGTTGAAAGAATTCCTTTCTTGAGAGCTCTGGACATAGCGCACAAAAGGGCCTGATGCTGAAGTTGCCTGAGGCGAGCAGCAGGACTGGAGACATTTTAAGTGAAGAGCTGTGAGCTGCAACACCTGACAAGTTGAAACGTTGTAGCAAGAAACAAGGCAAATTGTGACTAGGTGTGGGGAGCATCCAGAATCTTAGAGTCTTGGAACCAATCAAGATCAAATCGTCATTTTCCAGATATATAATTTGACACGAACTTGGCCACAATGGCTCACAGCGTGGTGCTAAAGGGTGCCACCCCGGGCAGACCATCTCGGCGATAGCTTTTGCGCTCCGCCTGCTTCACCACAAGGCTTTTGAAACACTTTGCACCTTCAACATGTTTGAACACTTTCTCATTTTCTTGTCTACTTTCAAAGACCACACTCCATGGTGCATTCTTGCAGAATATATGATTGTTCGATCCCACACACACATACATCGAACAGAGGGAACAATGCAGCTCCTGGGCAAAAATCTGACTGACTGAGCAGCGTGAAGGGAGATATATTCACAAAGAAAAGAACACTACATCTCTCCCAGACTGGAGCTGCAGTTCCCTGGCCTTAAAGAGATCCAATACATTCGTCTCCCGGAAGAGGTCACAACCCAATGGGCTACGGGCAAAAACCATTCATTTGCAGTAGGCAGCAGTCACCCTTCTGCTCTTAAAGCCCTGTACGCCATCACCGCAACTGGACAGCTGCAAGTCATAGTTTGTGCCAGCAGTGCATACGACGTACACGTCTGAGTGCCCAAACCAATTTCTGTGCTGTGTACATTGGACAGAGCACTCATCCTAAGTATGCTCTTGCAAGACCCGTGCGTTCGCAACTCCGAGTCTGTGTCTGCAGTAAAATACAACATAGGCATAAGATGGCTTTGCGACTTGTGTTGCGAAACAAAAAAGATGAGCACCACAAACACGCCACGCGTTGCAGCCAACAATCGTGTGAGCAAGGTGCCTGGTTGTCGCGCAAGCGTGTTTGTAATCGCTTGTTTAAGCACATGTGTACTGCCTCCACACATCAGGCTCATCAAGCCATGAGCTTCTATGACGCTGCCTTCACAGTCGTTGGGCACTCTGTGTACCCAGCTTATGACGGGAGAGGAACTTGGGCCACCAGGCGCTTCCGTCGCCCTCCCGGACACAGCTGGTGCAACAACGTTGGCATGCTGGAAGCCAAGTTCACCACTGGGAGACAACATGCTGCAAAGGTTGTATCATTCTATGCAGTGCATAATTAATAGCAATTTTAGAATCACATGCTTTTTGAAAGGCCCGGATTCGAAATGAACTTGTAAGCGTTGTTAACAAGTCGCAGGCCAGAACATCATCGAAGTTGATCCAGGGCCCGAATTGGCAACCACAGGCCACCGCCGGATCAAGATATATCATGTAACATGGCTAGTGTGGATCGTGGGGGTAATTTTATGGCTGAAGCATTTGCATGCAAAGGGACCTGTGGTCATCCTATAAATGATACTGTACTGATTTTGAGCAGTTGAATGAACTTTGCCAAGGACCAAGGTAAATACTTAAAACTGGTATGCCATGAGGTTATGCGTTGTATTGGTTTGAGGTCTGGGTTGAGAGCTTCCTTCTCTACCCACTCACTGTGAAGTCTTGTCAGATTGCCTTCCAGGCTATGCTGGCATCAGCGAGTGCAGGTGTTGGGGCTGTTGCTGCATGCGCACAGAGGAGCGGCGGAGATAATTGTAAAAATGCATAGATTTGCAACGCGCGTTGTTGCAGGAGGCCCAGACCTTTTCCGAGGTCGCAAATCAAGCGACGGGCATTTTTCGATGCCTGATGCTTGGTTTGCATGGAATTCAATTCTTGACAAACCAGGAATGGTGCAGTAATGACATCTAAGGAGCCCTGATACTTCTTTGGGACCCCTTTGCCAACGTGTTGTAATCTGCTGTAACGAACGCTATGAACCTGGAGCTGAGACCAGAACCTCATAGCTAAGTGGAGTATATACAGTCATTGTTGTGACGAACCTACAGTAGCTGCAGTTACTTGGTCCTTCTCCTTGCACCTTGTACACATCACAAGCATGTTTGCTCAGTTTGCATCGCAGCCTTCGAAAAAGACTGTCATTATCACTGGGGCGTCTTCAGGACACGCGATTCCTGCCTTTGCTCGTCATTCGATTGAAACGAATGGCTGGCACAGGACTTGGACTTGCAGCGGCGAAAGAGCTTGTCAAGAGCGGCGAGTGGCTTTGGGCCCTAGAATAGATTGTCACAATTAAATGCTCAAAAGTCAAGCTTGGTGAAACTGATGAAAATGCGACGCACATGACATGATTTCAGGCGAGTGATCTTGGCATGCCGTGATTTTGTCAAGGCAAGATGAGATTTGTATACGGTATACCTTCAAGAACCACTGCGTGTTTGCAACCAGTCAATGACCCCATGAGGCTGAACGTGTTGCCAGGGAGAACAATTTCCCTCAGGAGAAGAACATTACTTCAATTTGAGCAGCCATAAGCATGTCTAGCCATGATATCTTAATGATTCATTCAATGATAAGTCAGCCAAACAGCACAATGTCAGGAGAACTACCTTGTGCTACACCTTGATCTTGCTGCAAACAGCAGCGTTCGGCTTGCGAGTTTGAGAATCGAAGTAGAGAGAATCAGGTAGGTAGGTCCAGTAGCTTCAGACTTGGGCAGTCGACAATGTGTTAGGAGGTTTTCTCCAGTTTGATGTGCTGGTTGCAGGTGAGACAGTTTGTAACCACATTTCGCTCGCTCAACATTCCGTGATCACCTCAGTACCTGACAACCCATCAGTTTGAAGAGGAGACGAAGAAGCAAATAGACAAGCGAACAAAGGCGACCAGGAAAGGAGAAGGAAGCCAAAGTGACCAAAGATAGGTTTTTCATGTGCAATGGTCCAGGCTTGATGCTTTGGTGTGCAATGCGGCTGTCTACTTCCCAAACGCTCACAAAGAGGCAGCGATCAGAGTGGAATGAGTTACACCTCGGATGACACTGGCAAAGTGAGTGCGCCACAGGGAGCCTTCTTTCCTGGGCTCTTCCCAGGCGCCCCGCTTCGACGATCGTCGATGTTCTTCGACGCATTGATTCTTTCGTTTCTCTCTTCGATCCGTCTCCAGGTGGTGGTCCCAGGTGGTCAGCAGATGGCCATGAGTTGAGCTTCGCGACCAACTACTTAGGCCCCATACAAATGAGCTCTGAGATGGTGACCCTTTGGGCATTCATATCGCCAGGTCACTTCCTGTTGTGCAATCTTTTGCTGGAAGGCTGGACTGGAATCCTTTTTCTTGTTGTGGGCTAGCCTGCGAGGCACTGTGAGGTACACAGCCTCTGAGTATGAGGAAGTTACAAAGTTACAAGGAAGCAGAAGACGCCACCGCAATCGCATCCGTTCGGATCAAATTTAGGGGCATCAAGTCACCACTCATGAAGACCTCAGTGTTTCTGCAGACCTCAAGAAGAGCACCGTGAAGCCAGCTCGCTGCATCATTCTTGGCACAGTGACTGCCAGCATCAACGACAAGGAGGCGCTTTCATGCATTAAGATCAGGTTAGCTGGTTTCGACCGGACAACTTCTTTTGTTAAGGTCGGCGGCATGATCCCTCCTGTGGCGGATTTGGGTGACCTGAAAGGCTTCTTGGCGTGCTGAGAGTTTGTCCTTCCTCGAGCTTCAAAGCCTGGACGGGCCTGGATGTTGGATTAGGTCTCGAATCTGGTATGCAGAAGCCGGTCCCTGCCCAAGCATCGAAGCTTGGGAGGAAGTGACAAAACTAAGCAGTATAACGAGCATGTTGCAGCAGTGATTGTGCTGTAGTGACTGCCCAGACCACCATGATCGACAATGGTCGATTCAATGGAGCCAAAGCATACAAAGACAGCAAGGTGCTGCGACCGAGAATGTCGAATTGATTTCTCCCGGTTTTCCGAGCATCGCTTAACTGGGGCTTAAAGGGCAGTGAGTTTGTTGGCCAAAATTGCGGTTCCTAACATTTGCTCCTTTTGCTGGGCTTTTTGGTCGGGAAGCTTTGCCTGGATACTGCTGAAGATCGCAGGTGTGCGATGTGATGCTGATGAGGGAACTCCACAAGCGTCATCATGCGAGCACCGGGATTGCTTTTTCGTCTCTCTATCCAGGCATGAACATGGGCCAGAATACAATCATTTTTGCTACTGCAACTTGAAATGGATCCTGCATGGAACAAGGAGCACTTTTGCTGCAACATTTGCCATTGGAAGGTTGCATCGCTGACACGAACCTATTCAGAGAGCACTATCCGGTGTTCAGGCCAGCACATCAACTTATACAGTCTGAAATTACGGGTCGTTCACTTTTATGGGTACTCGTAGTAAGAGATCCGTTCGCACACTTTCATCATATTTGCCATTTGTCAACGTGGTTGGCCAGAGCATTTGAGAGTCTTTGACCTGCCGCCATTGCCAGGTTTTTGTTTCCCATTTTGCAAAGGGAGGTCACCAACGCGTGCCTATGCATCAGTTCACCTTGCAATGATGCCTTTGTTTTATCGAATGTTTGCAGGTACGTGAGCGAAGAAGAGGCTGGAAGAAGATTGGCAAAGTGCGTTGCAGATCCAGCCTACGCTCAGTCAGGCAGGTTTTTCACACAATTGCTGCAGAATGCATCATAGTTGCAACAAGAGCGTGGATAGACAAGGTGTCTATTTTTCCTGGGGTGGTGAGTCCGACACTTATTCCATCTTATTTCAACCGGGTTCTGAGAGGTTGTTGGTTCAAGGTGCCACCCTTCCATCTCTGAGGTCTGGAACCGGAGGTGCAGGTGGGACTGATGCAGTGGAGAACATGGACGCCAGCAATGACAGGTTCTTGCAGTGCCCCACTCTGCTTAAACATCAATGCTCCAAAGAGAAGGGTTTGCTGAATCTATTTCCCCACATTTTTCGTTTTGGTTCATCCTTTTTTGTTGCGCCCACGTGAATAATGTTATCGGAGGGAAGAGCAACCAGAATATTAATGGACCCAAGCAAGATGATTTGGTGCCAGGGTCTGAGCCCGTTGACTCTGCCAGAAATTTGACCAAATGCTGCTCTGATTCCAGCCAGTCAAGACATGTATCCTCAGTGTTGTCGGGGATTTTCCCTGCAAAATACTTCGCTTACTTCGGTGCAAACGGTGAACACAACGATTCGACAAGGCTTTGGGTCGGCCTGTCGGTTGGAGTCGTGACTTCAGATCTTCAGCTTGGCATGTAATGGTCAGCGAGCAACCGCACTCTTTGCCCAAAGAGAACCAACCTTTCCACCATACCCAAACTTAGCCCTTTACAACAAGAACAGCTTGTCCGGCTTGCCCTACCATAGTTTTCACCACTGCCATGCACGTTCAAGTGCTTGTGTAGCAACGTTGATTGTCAGAATTTACATGAATTTACAGTTGACCCCGACGAACCACCACCGCCGCCGCCACCACCACCACGACGACCACGACCACGACCACCACGACCACGACCACCACGACCACGACCACGACCACGACCACCACGACCAGGACCAGGACCACGACCACGACCACGACGACTACCACGACGACTACCACGACGACTACCACCACGACTACCACTACCACTACCACACTTTCATCACACAAAGTCAATCGGGTCAACTGGATCAACTGGGTTCAACCGGGACAACTGGGTCAACCGGGACAACCTGTTCAAGTAGGTCAACCGGGTCAACCGGAACAACACATTTACCGGCCCCTTCCCCGATGATCCACTTGGAATTTACCAAGAGCAACACAACCTTCCTGTTGTAGAAATGTTGACTCTGCAAATTGTTCTTCTAAGTTCTTTGATTTTTGAGGCTAAAGGTTCTGAGTTATGAGTCATGAGAAGTCTGTGCAGTCCTTTTCATCTCTGACGTTGACAAAATGCAGGTACGGCAGCTTCCGAACTCTCAAAGAGAGCGAGATTGGTGGAGATGCTGGTGATGATGCAAGGTGTAAGAGGTGGGTTTGGTCATGTTGTCCGCGCCGTGCATTCGACTTCTCCAGAGGCTTTGGGAATTTAGCGAGAAGCTTGTTGGAGAGCGTTTCTCCTGATTTGGTGTGGGGGCTCAATGGAGATTCAGTGTCGATGTCGCAGGTCTTTCACTTTTGGACCACAAGTGCTTGAGAGGCTTTGGGTGAATATGGTGAAGTGTGGTGTGAACCGCTTTGCGGCGAATCCGGCTCAAGCCTGGCAGAGCGACTGCGGAGCGACCGCGGAGCGACCGCGGAGCGACCGCGTGGTTCAGCCCTTCAGCCATGTTTGTCGCACCAGCTCCTTGGGTGAATCTTGCTGGAAGTACTTCAGCTCCTACTTGGGGGAGAAGTGAACTAGGGCAGCGAGGTTGTTCTAGCCACTGTGATCTTGGGCGTCACTGCTTTGGGAGTCGTGAAACGACATTTTCTTTGTGGAGAAGCTGCGTGCTGGGTGCTACAGCGCTGGCAGTGCGAGAGAGGAGCAGGGCTCGGCAGAGAAGCACGAAGCCCAAGAGCTATAGAAAGTTTCAAGCGTCTGTGAAAGTGGAAAAAAGGTCACTTCACAAATCGGGGGATGTACTAAGCACAGGAACTTTGCCGGTTGGCGATGGCTTTGAACTCTACTATGAGGAACATGGTCATGCGGATGGCATTCCTGCAGTCTTCTTACACGGGGGTCCTGGTGCAGGGTGCTCTCGGAGGATGGCACAACTCTTCGATCCGGCAAAATATCGTATCATTCTCTTCGATCAGAGAGGCTGTGGGAAAAGCACCCGGAAGGATTCCAGCAGTGCTGAAGAACAAATAGATGACAATACGACCTGGCACCTCGTGTCTGACCTAGAAGCTTTGAGGGAACATCTCAAGATCGACCGCTGGGTTGTGGCTGGTGGTTCTTGGGGAACTTGTTTAGCCTTGGCATATGCCAGTAAGTTCAGAGAGCGGGTGCTGGCTATGGCTTTGCGAGCAGCGGCTCGGATGCAGCGAATAAACGAGGTTGTGAAGACAGACACTGGGACAAACAGATCCTATCATATCCTATCGGACTTGTAATGTCACTGGTTTCTTCCATTTCATGTCTTCACGGCTTCTTGGAAAGAATCGGACTGTCATTTTGATGGGGGCTTGCTAACCGCTAGCTTGATCCCCCTTATCAAGTCTTGTGGGAAAGGTGTTTTTGCGCTTCTGACTTCTGATCACCACGCTTATCTCAGACACATTTACCTTTTTGAGTTTGCTCCCTCCCGGCCTCTTTCTGATGCATTGCCTGCCTAGCTTCTTGACCATATAGACACGAAACTCGTTACAGTAATCACATCACAGACATGTTTGCACGTTGAACAGAATAGTGTCAGACATCCTAGGGTCGCCTCCAAAGGGTTCTATTCCCCCGAAGCTGATATCAAAGATATGGGGCTTTCTCAAAGCGATGCTCGGCTGAATGGGTTCTTTTTGAATGCCCAAACTCCAGACTTTGCGCAATGCCCGCCAGTAGTGTTTTGTTCGCAAGAAAGAGAAGGACGGGCCGGGTCGTGAAGTTGGAGTGCCTCAAGCAATGCGACACATGGGACATAATTTCGGTGGCATCCTCCGTTCCTTTGACACTTCTTCACACACTCTCTGAAATTGCGCACTGACTCGATTGCGGTTGGCCACACGCCAACCTAGGTAACCATAATCCTGAGAAAACCATGTAAGGGGGGTCTGAGTATCCTGGAGGTCCAACCTAGCAAAGAGAGAGGCCCAAATTTCAAAGTTCATAATCGACGAACACGAAACGACAGGTGACGACGACGGTGCACATCTGCCGAATGCATTAGCTCTTTACTGGAAAATTGGAGTGACAGCTTAAGAACACCACAAATGGAATGCAGGTACGTCACTGGACGTCTCCAGTGATATCCTCAGGACACTGCAGAGAGCTTTGTTAAGTGGAGCTCTGCAGGCCTGCTCCACTCCCCTGCTGCAATACAACCAAAAGAATAAAGCCAACTCAAAAGAATCCCTGTGACTCCAAGGGTGTCACACACACATACACAAATGTTTTGCCTCTGGCAGAAACCTTCAGACAGGTCTTTTTATTCCGCTCCCAAGAGCTGGAATTCTTTTGTGGCCGATCTGGTGGAGCTAGTCAGTTAGCCCCCTCTGCTTGGCAAAGCTTCGGTTCCTGGTTACCTCCTGAAATCAGCTCAGCGCGGGCGGTTGCAGCTGCCTTCCGTAGAGCTGCGCTTGGCCAAGATGCGTGGCTTGGAATTGAACAAGCAAAAGGTCTTTGAGTCTTTGGGTGTGTTTCAGAGAACGGCGATTTCAACACTGTAAGAGCATTGACACCGAGGTCTATGTCTCCATCTGATGCGCTAGGAAAGTGGAGGGCCTGGGAGAATTTCCTGTTTTCACTTCGTGAACGCAACCCACAACTGGCAGAATGCGAAGCTGCAAGTGTTCCAGCCCTGCCAGAAGTTTCCACCCCCAAAAGTCCATGGCCTAAAGCCACCAAGTTCAACATCCAAGCCTTGCTCACACTGCACTACGTAGCTGAGCGTGGTTTTTTGAACGATGCCGAACTTTTGGACTGTGCTAAGCATTTTGACTTCCCCTTAAAGCTGATCCATGGCCAGTGTGACTGCATTTGCCCAGCAGAAAATGCCAGGGACTTGGCATCTGCAGTTGGGCAACATGCGGAATTGCTGCTCACAAATGCCGGCCACTCACAGTGGGATACAGATAATATCGATGCTTTTGTCCGGGCGACCGATGAAATCGCGTCTGAATGCCTGGTGACATGTTAGCTTATGTTTGCACAGATGTACTCAGTCGAGTCTCTCAGCTCCCTCATGTGGGATGGAGAGCACAAGTCTTGCTGCACAGACTACGCGCCAACAAAGAACCGCTCTGAAACTCTCAGCGTGAGACTTACCTGATAGGTGTGGGATACGTAAACTTTCTACACCTGGACTCTATATTAACATATATGACGACTTCTCAAGTTTAACGAATGATGCTTTCTGAGGTTTTAGCCGACCCACAGTTCACAACTACAGACCTGTTTACAACAGTACATCGACATGATGCTTTGTGGGAAAGTGTGTCAATGTGACCAGGTTTGCTCCACCAGATCGCTGCAACATGCACAGTTAAGCCGGGCAGTGCACTGCGTGTCATCTCCCGCACCTGCTTCAGTGTCTTTTTGAAGGTCAGCTGTGCCTCCGCCAGCAAATGGTTCCAAACAGTCTCGTTCTAGAACTCATACATGACACGCAGTCAGCCATTTTTGCAAAACAACATGTTCAACGTGGCCCACATTTTGACGGCGGGGGGCAGATGACCTGGCCCAGCAAGGCTCTCAACATCCTGGCAATGCAGTCAGGGATTAATTGCTCAAGCTTTGTGGCTTTGTGCAGACCAGCGCTGGTTGGAAAGACCTTGTTGCTGCCAAAAAGTTTGACCTAGGCTAGGTTACTGACAAATCAGCTCGGCAAGGAAGCCAACTCATAAAGTCATTCAGAGGCTTGCTTTTGACTCTTGACCGAAAGCCTGGCTTGCAAACAACTGCCAACATGGGGCAGACACGCAGAGTGCAAGCACCACGAATGATAATTGTGTGTAGGATGTAGGTGCACGTGTTTGTAACAGTGTCTATCTATGCAGGTAGATGTGCACTTTTAATGTTTTCACTTTGCACATTTTGCACACACACACACATCATTTTGGAAGCAAGGAACGCTGATAGCAAAGAAGTTGAGAGACATGCAGTTGGCTTGGGCTGTGGGGATTTCCCCCCCAAAAGCATTGTAGTTCCAGACTTGATAGGCAGGCGGTGCCGGCCTCATTCCTTATGCAATGGCGAACAAATCTGTTGTGAAGAAGAGGTGCCTGACTAAGCAATTCCACCAGTCTTTCCAAAACGCAAAATAAATGACTTGTTTGGCTGTTCAATCTCACCGTTGTTGTGGCTTGCCATTCATGTTCACTGCCTTCAAGCTTCTCTGAAGAAGTAGGTGGTTGCTCGTGCAGACTTGGCGATTTTTGATTGTCAAACTTGTGTCAAGTGCCTCGTTGAGCAACAAGGGAGACGTTACAAACAGCACTAACTGGGTGTTGACCAACAAAGGCAAGCGCGTCCATTTCTACTATTATTTGCCACATAGGAAGTGTCCGTTGTGCTGGTGCGACGTTTGGATTTACCAAAAAAAACAACAAGAATCCCAATGATTCGTCAAGAACAATCCACAGATTTGGACTCGCTCAACTCTGGACTCACAGATTTGGACTCCAGAGTCCAGAGTCCAGTACAATTGGGCTGATGAACAAACTGTCGGACTCTGGACGTTCCTTTTGGCAGTTCGACAGAAGCTACTAGGGGCTCCTGGCATCGCTACTAGGACGCTACTAGGGGCTCCTGGCCGTACTACTAGGAACAAAAGCTATTAGGGGCTCCTGGCCGTACTAAGAAGCAAAAGACCGTTTGAAGCGACCAAGGCGGCGGCGCCAAGTAGGCCGTGCGCCAAGTAGGACGGGTCAGGTGACAAGTTGACCGGCTGAACTGGACAGGTGACAAGGCTGACGGGACGGCTGCACAGCGGAAGAGACCGCTGGAGGTGAGAAAGAGCAACAGAGCCCGCAACTAGCTGACTCACTCATGATCCGTGGAAGGCAACAGAGCCTGAGATCCTTGATGACTTGCTGAATGCTCAAAGCTTAGATTTGAGTTCACTCCGTTTTGCTTTAGCTAGCAAGCGCGCACACCCACATACACGCGTAAGAAGGGAATGAAAAAAACATCCGAGGAAGCAGTGCATGAAAACAGTCAGGACATACACGGAAGCGACCTGTAACACGGGCGCAGCACGGCCAAACCAGCATTGGAAACACAAGTGGCTCCGCACAAGCTGATGTCAGAGCAGTCCATGCTTCCCTCGTCATGGCTTCCTGTAAACTAGTTCAGTACAATTGGCTGATGCCTTCCGACCACATCGCGAAACGGAGATATCCCATACAGCGATGTACAGATGACACGAACACAACACATAACACACCTCGTGTGGGAGGTTTCCACAAATACCGGTAGCCCCGAACCTTGCTTGGGCATCGAGACAGGGATTGAGTTTGAATCTTCCCAGCGATGGTTTGGTAATTTTGCAGTTTCTCTCCCTCTCTGACATGCATGCAGGCTCCCATTTTGCGGCCACAGGTTCCTTCTGAAGTGCTTGGCGTGTCCAGGCGATTCGCTTTGCTTTACACATTCGGTCATACAAAAATGGGAAGGGCCTTCGGAGCCTTTGGAGCTTCAAATTCAAGGTCTTTACTCACTGTTCTTTGGCAGGCCATTGAAGAGGCGCCGTCTCCGTGCACCACTGAGGGTGCCAGACGTGTGGCAGACTTCAGCGAAAGAGTTCGGGGCTCAATGGGCTGGACTCAATAATTCGAGAGCACAATCAAACGAGTTCGTCGGATGTGCTGTTTGGCACGAGTTCTCCGCTCGCGTGGCTCGAGTTGAAATACAATGTTCTGGTTTTGTGGTTGCAGTGCGAGTCAATGCTGAGGCTCTTTCGTATTCGGCCAGCTCCAGAGCATTGTTCGCAGCCCAGAAGCGCCATGTTCGACCAACAGAATGCCAGGTTCATGTTGGATACTGCCGCATATTCATGGCCGAAGCGTTTTTGAGCTCAAAGACTGCTGTAGAAGCAGAATGCCGCAGGAACCATATAAGACTCTCGGTGGCAGAGTTCTAGGGTTCGTCAAACGTGTCAGATTGTAGTAGCGGCTGCTTCAAAAGCCATGCCCATGACAGGGAGGCCATCATCTATGGCGGGGTTTGCGACAAGGAGTTCCGTACATGGGTCAAGAACTTTATAGCCCCTGAGCTCAATCTTGAAAGCGTTTTTGAACTGCTGATTTGCACAACTTCACTGGCAAGATGTTGTGCAGTCAATGAGGAACCTCACGTGGTTGGCATCTCAGTTGTTGGGGTGGCATTTCTTGGTTTGAAACTGAAAGGCAGACAAAGATTGACACAGATCATAGAACCAATAAAGTGGCAAGGTTCATTGCTTGATCGATTGAAATGACGTCGATGCAGTTTGCATCAGGCTCAAAGAACCAATGACGGCTGCAGCTACTACCGCCTTCCGAGTCCGGGTGATGCCGTCACAATCAGTGGCCTTCGCCGAAGGCACGAACTGAACGGTGTGTCTTGGCATGCAAACAGCCCATGCACAGAACCCCCACAGGGACACCCCAGGCCTCCAACAGAATCATGGAGTTATCGGAATCATGAACACCTGAGGAAGTGTGTGCCTTTGAAGTTGGCTTGTTCCCTTCAGGTCCGCGGTGAAGTCTTGAGCAGCAAGCAGGCATGGAGTGTCATGATGCTTTTCCATGGCTTGATGTGAATGCGGCGACTTGACTAATTGAATCCAAAGAGAATCCAATGTTAAGTTTCCCTAAGAATCTAGGAAGCAAGTCATCAGTGCGAGTGCATCTTCAAGGAAGCGTGAGCTATCCTGCGTCCATATGTAGTACTGTAGCGTCATAGTAGCTAGGAACTTAATTGAGTAGGCGCCTACTTAATTAAATAGGAACGGGCTTTGATAAAAACAGTTGACGAGTTCATCCAAACGGGCCCGTGGCAGGATGAGTTTGGGCGCATCCGGGTCAGGATCGATGCTGAAGGCAGTCGAACCATGAAGATCCAGCCCTTCAGGCACGAAAGTCAAAGTCCCCGATTTCGTTCAACGTTTCAAGTCTTTCGTAGATGATTTGAGCTTCGCTGCAAGGCTAGTGCCTGATTCTCTGGCACCAGTGTGCAAAGAGTTGCCGGGAATTATAAATGCTACAGTTGCATCATGTTGCATCATGTTGCATCCATATGAGTCATATGAGCCAAAGTCATCCAAACGCCAATCTCACAATCTACAATCATTTTGCACTGCCAAGGTTTGATAAAGTCAGTTTGCGCTCTGGATGCGAAAGGGCCACCAATTCCACGGCACCATCCGCCTTTGGCTCAGCTGTTTAATGTTGAAACGATGTTGAAACCATGTCGATTTCACTCTTTGAGGCAGTGAGCGGAGTATCGAACACGTCGAGCCGATTGGAAAGACGATGCTTGGCCAAAGCTGCAAGCTTCTTGGCACCAGAGCTACTTCGGAAATTGATGTACCTTGGTGTGTGATGGGCAGAAAATGGCAGACATGCTGCATGCCACAAGAAGTTGAGCCATGTTGAGCCAAGGTTTGCCAACTATCTGAGTCTTGTACAGATCATTTCGACTGCCCTTGGCAGTTGCCATACTTTATCTAGATTAGTACCTACCTAGTTCCACAAACACGTGAAGCGTGCTGTGGTCGAGCAACATCGAGCTACACAAAAGGCCTTTTGCTGCGTTTTTCGCTTCGACTCTCTCGGACAGCTGACTTTCTGTGTCGTTTCTTAGATGGAGAGTGGATTAAGTTTAGTTCAATCAGAAACAGGTAAAGACACCTTCGGGGCCAAGCAGAACCAGGTGCCTCGCAACATATAAGCTGCTGATTCTTCGGTTGTTGACTAGCTTGCAGAAAAACATCTACGGAGCGGTTCCTAGATTTTGAGTCCTTTCTTAATTTCCTAGTTCATTTTTTCCGCCGTTCCGCTGTCAGATCATTTGTGATCATTTCATTTTCCAGTCCATTTTAGCGTCCTTGCTCCTAGTAGCGATGCCCTTCCAGGAGCCCCTAGTAGCGTCCTTACTCCTACCCCCTCCGTGGCAAGCAGACCAAAATGCAAGTCTAAGGTCGAGCCTGCCACAGGC